TACTATTTTATGCTGTTAGCCGCCTAGAGTGGTCTTAACCGACCAGATAGGCGGGATATTAAATAAATAAATAAATAAATAAATAAATAAATAAATAAATAAATGAATGAATGAATGAATGAATGAATGAATGAATGAATGAATGAATAAATAAATAAATAAATAAATAAATAAATAAATACTTTCAGCTAGACCCCTGTCAGTTCTTCTTATATTGTTTATTTTCAGACTATACCTATATCCTGGAGTTTTTTCCCAATGAGTTCAAGGTGGCATGGCTGGTTTCTTTCCTCCCCAAGCATGCTGTGTGTATGCAATAAATAAATAAATAAATAAATACTTTCAGCTAGACCCCTGTCAGTTCTTCTTATATTGTTTATTTTCAGACTATACCTATATCCTGGAGTTTTTTCCCAATGAGTTCAAGGTGGCACGGGTGGTTTCTTTCCTCCCCAAGCATGCTGTGAGTATGCACTCAAACGCCTCTCCACAAGCACAATGTGTGCATGTGCAAGAGAGAGCTCCACCCCTCTGCAGGAGTACCACACACCCCCAAATGGTCCACGGTTGGGAAAAGTTTGGGGACCACGAACTTAGAAGGTACATAAACTTGGCTCTTCCAAGTGCAACAATCTAGCTACTGAAAAATGGCTGAAAACTCATTATGCAACTCCATGTGAACAACTGAGATGATCACATTATTACCTGCAAATCACTGCTGATTAAAGGGAAACTGCCAGCAATTAAAGGCAATTTCAGGATGCATGCCACTAGAACACAATGTGACATAGTTGTCACAACAAAACCCTCAAAGGATAAGATAGATCTACAGTAATTTGTCACTTGAAAACACATAAAAAGATGTAAATTCATCTGTAAAAAGATGAAGTAAAACCACTCACGAGGCTTCCACTTATGCATTCTTCATATTTTTCCCACTAGCTTGTATGTACCTTCTGGTAGAAGGAGCATCACTGTTTTCTCTATAGTCTTGAAAGTTGTATATGTTTACCTGTAGGACATTTCTTTTAGCACAATTTGGTATGTACCCTGAAGTTTTGGCCCGGCCATTGGGGTTTGCTGAATCTATTTGCAGTGGGGGGCTGTATCATCACGGAGTAGTCATACCTCGCCAGATTTCTCCTGAGAGCTACTGTTGCTGGACATGTTGCCACTCATAAGGGCAACAGGTGATAAAAGTTAAGGTCTGAAGATTAAGAGCAAGTAGGTACAAAGTGATAACTCAGTTTCCCGGCCGTGAAAGCCTTCATGAATATATCCAGGTATTGTTGGACTGCAACTCACATCAGCCCTAGTTAGCACAAGCAATTGTAAGGAGTTGCATCTGAGGCTGTTTCTGTAACTCATGGTTTCTCGCCTCCCATGCAAAAAGCATTCCACCCAGGAGACCCTCCAGGAGCCACAATTCACCTTGTGAATAGGCTGTAGGGCCTCCCAGGTAGTGTTTAGCTCCAATTTTTCAAGACCATTGTATCATTGTATCCCATTTTTCATTGTATCCCTTTCTGGGTTGTTTTTTTTTTTTTTTTGCATATTTTGCATGGTTTGTGCCATTCCCAGGTGATTTTGTTATGTGCCACCAAGTTGGAACTGATTTATAGCAACACTAATGGGGCTTTCAAGGTAAATGAGATATTTAAGGAGTGGTTTTACTAGTTCAACTCCCAGTGAATTTCCATGGCTGAGTGAGATTTGAACCCAGGCTCCTGAGTCCTAGTCTGTCACTCTATCCACTACACCACACTGCAGATCCCAGATAATTGGCAGTTGGGCCCACTGGAGTTACCCTCCCTAATTTAGGAGCTCCTAAGAAATAGCTGTAACCCAGTATAAATGAAAAGGAAGTTTTTTTCCTACCACCTTACAATGTTCTAGATGAGAAGCAGGTACTTGCCTTTTTCCTTGTCTCAACTCCTTGTTCTTGGCACAAAAATACATATTTTATCAAGGAAGGGCTACTTATGAACAGATGAATTTCAATAATGTAGCACTATAGCTTGGCTTACAGTGTCCTAGAATTTTGTTGCTAGTCTACGTTGCAGATGATTTAATAGAAGACAAATGGAGGTATACCCACAGAGTCTTATGTCTTATAAAAAGTTTGGATAACAATAACACGGTTTACAACTACATGCTATTGTTTCAGACATTGCTAATAAGTCACTGGGGGTGGCAATGGTAAACCACTCCTTAAATATTTCACATACCCTGTAAACCCTAGGTGGCAATGGTAAACCACTCCTTAAACATTTCACATACCCTGTAAACCCTGCTTGGTGGGAAGGGAACCCACTGATGAAAAAAGGAGGCAGCTTCTGGGATTTTTCCTTACTTGGTGTCTCTCTGTGAGCAGAGAAGGGTATCCTGTACACCATCTTGACTGCTGCCATTAGTGTTGTCAATATTCAGGCTGCTCTTTGTTATGTAAAGCTTGGCAAAGGGGGCACATTATTGTGCAGTTATATCAGACCATTTCCATTAATTCAGCCAGATAATAAAGTGACAATCTTTCATTAAACAGCTTTAAACAAATTATGTCCAGTGTAGTGTAATGAATAGAGTGACAGATTAAGACTCTGGAGAACAGAATTTGAATCCTGACTTGATAATGGAAATTCACTGGGGGAGTGGAACTGCTAAAACTACTCCTTAAATATCTCACCTTGAAAGCTCTTTTAAGGTCCCTATAAGTCATTTCCGACTTGATAGCACAGAACACACACAAGCAAATGAGACTGGATCCTGTGTGGATGTTATGTGGCTGCCATGTTGCAGGCAGGCAGGGTGAATTAATCATTCGTGGTCTCTTTAAGAAAAAGCCATCCCACACAAGCTCTTTTCCCTCAGCTGAGAGAAACCGTGCTTCAGGTTTCTATATTAAGAGCCCCGCTAGGGAGCAGAGAAAGAGAGAAGGAAAGAAAATCTACAATTCTCTGGGATTCAGGACCTGTAGTCCACAAACTGTAACTCTTCTCATCAATTCCAGGAAGCTATATGGAACTCTTTTAACAAGCCAGTGCAGTTAACAACATTTTCGTGCAACCCAAATGCCACAATCAAAGATTCAAAATTGCCTTCAATTGAGAGAGAAAACAAGAGATATACCTGCCAAATAATTGAGAGACCACCAGCCACCATATGCATACAGCCCTTGGAAAAATGCTTCTGCAATCTCCACAGCATTGGGAATCTCAGAACTGAAAGCATTCTCAAACCTTGCCAAGTTCTCTTTCCTTCCTCCTATCAACAGGACAATCCCGCCAATAGCGATTACAGACAAAGCCATCATCTTCAGGATGGTAAAAACTGTCTGCACCCAAGCAGCCATCTTGACACTTCGACCATTGAGGATCCCAAGGAACCAGAGAACAGCCAACGCCAAACATTTCTTCAGCAGTTCTGGAGCCGGGCACTCGCCATAGAATGGCTGGGTAGCATATTCAGCAAACAATAAGGCCCGAGCAGCATTTGAGGCAGGTTTGTTGAACACGGCGGTCCACATAAAGATGAAAGCTAGGGGAGAACCAAGAGCTCTCTTGATGTGGCTGTATTCACCACCCGAAAGTGGTAAAGCCGTGCCAAGCTCTGCGTAACACAAAGCACCCATCAAAGATACGATGCCACAAGCAGTCCAGATGATCAATGCTACGCCAACATTGAGTAAAGAATATTTCAACACTCCAGTTGGAGAGACAAAGATCCCTGCCCCTACTATTGTACCCACTATGAAGCAAACACCATCAAAATATCCGATAGTTCTTTGAAGCTGTATCTTGCTTTTTTCATTTTCATTTTCTTCTTCCACCTGGCCGCACTGCTCTTTCCTCATCTTTTTCTTTTTCGTCTGCTGTTTTTCAAAGACAGTAGCCAGTTACTCGAAGGCGTTGATTTCCTCCCCTCCCCAGTTTCTCAAGGTGCAGCAAAAAATTACTTGAATGATTTACAGGATCATTTCAGACATGTATACTTGTAAGTTTCGTAAGAAAAGTGCTGATGATTAACCAAGCCCTTTCAATTAAGTTGCGCCAAGTCTTTGGAAAAGTGTTCTCAAATTAAGGCTGCAATCTTAGTCACACACACTTAGGAATAAGTCCCGCTGGAAGATCGGGGGGAGGGATGTTCTGAGTAATAAAAGGCTTTCAATGTTGGTGGGTTGAAATTAGGACCAAGGAAAAAACGATTCAATCAAACATTTGTGGAACTGGCTAGTAATCAACAGTGTGAAACATCTCTCCTCTACATCACTTCTCTAATTCTTCATGAAATTTACTTGGAGGAGCTTATCCATGATTAGACTTGTAGAAGTTTGCATTGTTAATACTTGTTTATTTTGTGGTCTACTTTCAACTAAAGCCTCTTTGGCTTGGCTTTTTCTTCAGAATATTCTCATTTAGAAAAAGGAATCCAAACTTTAAAAATATTTTCCCTACAACTCCAGATTTATGTACAGTTATGTAAAATAGAACAATGTGATTAGAGGCATTCTGATCTGAAATTTTCAAGTTTTATGTCAATCTTTTATCAATCCTTTAAAAAAATATACATTGAAAAGTAGTAAGTATTGTAAGAGGATTGCTGAACAGTTTGAAAATAATTAATGGTAACAAATTAATAAATTACATAACAAATTTCTTTTAAAAACTCACCTTGGGGTAGTGTGGGCGACATAGAAATGAAATAAATAAATAAATAAATAAAATTAGGAAGACAGAAGAGAAATGATTGATTGAACAATGTACTGAAATCTAGTTGAGACCAAACTTTATTGGAAGACACCATCCTTATACAGTGGGGTCTCTACTTAAGAACTTAATCCGTATTGGAAGGTGCTTCTCAAGTTGAAAAGTTCTTATGTTGAATCTGCATTTCCCATAGGAATGCATTGAAAACCATTTAATCCGTATCTGCTCTTTTCCGTCCATAGAAACTACTGTAGTGACTACAGAAAAATAAGCTCAATAAGATTGTAGATGACAGAATTTGGAAAACAAGTGTATTTGTTTGTTGTCCAAAACATACATTTTGGACTGAAAGGAGGGTTTGGACTCAGGGAAGCACTATTCTGAATGTATGCATTTGCAGAGACATGACACACCATGAATGTAAGCATGTATGTTTGCTTTATTGACTATGAGAAAGTCTAAAGTCAAGATAGCCATGATCACACCTAGCCTCTGGTGAGGAAGAATAAGGAGGAGAAGGAGACAGGTTGGGCCTGGTTAGTACACAGATAGACTGTAAGGAGACAGGTTGGGCCTGGTTAGTACACGGATAGAATTTTATTTAAAAAATGCTAGGTGGTGTATAGGGTCCTCCTGTAGTTCATGCGGTAGACCACATGCTTTGAACACATCTAATGTCTGGAGCCATGGAAAACAAACCTGTCCCTTCCTTGCCATGACATCCGTTCAAATATTGAAACATGGTTATCATGTCCCCTCTTAACCTTCTTTTTGTAAGGCTTAACATTCCCAGCTCCCTAAACCACTCCTTACAGGACATGGCTTCCAGACCTTTGACCATTTTGGTCTCCCTCCTCTGGACACGTTCCAGGTTGTCGACATCCTTCTTGAACCGAGCTGCCCAGAACTGGACACAATCCTCCAGGTGAGGTCTGACCAAAGCGGAATAGAGTGGTACTATCACTTGCCTTGATCTAGACACTATACTCCTATTGATGCAACCAAGAATTGCATTGGCTTTCTTGGCAGTCGCATCACACTACTGACTCATGTTCAGTTCGTGGTCTACTAAGACTCCTAGATCCCTTTCACAGGTACTGTTGTCTAGCCAGGTGCCTTCCATCCTACATCTGTGCAGTTCATTTTTCTAGGTGCAATATTTTAAAATTATATTGTTTCTTTTATTGTAAGCCGCCTAGAGTGGGCTAATATGTCCAGATAGGCGGGATAGAAATAAAATAAATAAATAAATAAATAAATTCTGCCTAGGTGTAGGACCTTACATTTCTACCTGTTGAAATTCATTTTGTTAGTTTTGGCCCAGGACTCTAATCTGTCAAGGTCATGTTAAATTTTAATCCTGTCCACTGGGGAATTAGCAACCCCTCCCAATTCGGTATCATTTGCAAATTTGATCAGCATACTCTCTATTCCTTCATCCATGTCATTGATAAAGATATTGAATACTCAGGTGCCTAGAACAGAACTCTGAGGCACTCCACAAGTTGCCTCTCTCCAGGATGAAGAGAAGCCATTGATGAGCACCCTTTGGGTTCAGTCAGTCAACTAATCACAAATCCACCGAACAGTAGCACTGTCTAGCCCACATTTTACTAGCTTCCTTGCAAGAATGTCATGAGGAACTCTGTCAAAGGCCTTACTGAAATCAAGATATGCTACATCCACAGCATTTCCTTCATCTATCAAGCCTGTAACTCTATAAAAGAAAGAGATCAGATTAGTCTGGCATGACTTGTTTTTGAGAAACTTGTGTTGACTTTTAGTGATGACAGCATTGCTTTTTAAATAATAACAGTCTGTTTAACGATCTGCTCTAGAATTTTTCTGGGAATTGATGTCAGGCTGACTGGGCAATAATTATTTGGGTCTTCTTTTTTTCCCCTTTTTGAAGATATGGACAACATTTGCCCTCCTTCAGTCTGTGGGGACTTCTCCTGTTCTCAAAGAATTCTCGAAGATTATTGCCAGTGGTTCTGAAATTACTTCTGCTAGTTATTTTAATGTCCTTGGATGTAATTCATCTGGCCCTGGAGACTTGAATTCATTAAAAGTAGTCAGGTACAGAATTCCTGTACTACTTCTCTACCTATTCTGTGCTGCATTTCCCCCACTACATCACCTGTTCTTCGCCCCTCAGGTTGAGCACTATTTTCCTTTTTGGAGAAAACTGAGGCAAATAAGGTGTTTAGAAATTCAGCTTTTTCCCTGTCGCCTGTTAGTAGTTGGCTATTTTCTCCATGCAGCAACCCTACATTGTTTTTCCTTTTGCTGCAGACATAATTAAAAACACCCTTTTTATTGTTTTAAACTGTCTTGCAATCCTGAGCTCATTCTGCACTTCTGCTTTTCTTACCTTCCCTCTACATATACTGGTTATTTGCTTGTACAGTATTCCTCTTTAGTGTTTTCCATTTCTGGGAATTGATATCAGGCTGACTGGGCAATAATTATTTGAGTTTTCTTTTCCCCCTCTTTTGAAGATAGGGACAACATTTGCCCTCCTTCAGTCTGTGGGGACTTCTCCTGTTCTCAAAGAATTCTCGAAGATTATTGCCAGTGGTTCTGAAATTACTTCTGCCAGTTATTTTAATGTCCTTGGATGTAATTCGTCTGGCCCTGGAGACTTGAATTCATTAAAAGTAGTCAGGTACAGAATTCCTGTACTACTTCTCTACCTATTCTGTGCTGCATTTCCCCCACTACATCACCTGTTCTTCGCCCCTCAGGTTGAGCACTATTTTCCTTTTTGGAGAAAACTGAGGCAAAGAAGGTGTTTAGAAATTTAGCTTTTTTCCTGTCCCCTGTTAGTAGTTGGCTATCTTCTCCATGCAGCAACCCTACCTTGTTTTTCCTTTTGCTGCAGACATAACTAAAAACACCCTTTTTATTGTTTTAAACTGTCTTGCAATCCTGAGCTCATTCTGCACTTCTGCTTTTCTTACCTTCCCTCTACATATACTGGTTATTTGCTTGTACAGTATTCCTCTTTAGTGTTTTCCACATTTTTTCATTTCTTGTACATGTTTTTTAACACTTAGTTCAGTTGAAAGTACTTTAGTCAACCATTCTGGTTTCTTTAAACATCTCCTGTTTTTCCTTCTGGAACAGTTTTAGATTGTGCATTTTGTTGTTGTTTAGTCGTTAAGTCGTGTCCAACTCTTCATGACACCATGGACTAGAGCACACCAGGCTCTTCTGTCTTCCACTCCTCCTGGAGCAGATTGTGCCTTTAGTATCTCCCTTTTAAGAAATTCCCATCCATCCTGAACTCCCTTCTCTTTCATTACCTTTGTCCATTGAATTACAGCCAGTAATTCCTTAGGTTTACTGAAATTGGCCTTCTTAAAATAGTTGTGCTTGTGAAATATAAGGTTTGTGCAGCTCAGCTATTTATGTTTGTCTTTTCCATGATGGACAAAATTCTTATTGTCCCCTTGTTGTTAAAAAAAAACACATAACAAAACTAATATGAAGAAGAATTTTAAAACAAAGAATGGACTTTCTCCTTCCACCTCTCTCTCAACAATGTTTCTTGTCAGAGTCTTTGCTTTTGAATGCAGATTCCAACATTTTCAATTTCAGGGCAGAGTTACCTACGATAAAGGATCAAACCTAGATGGATAAGAATTTTGGGATAATATTCAAGACAGTTTAGGCTGCTGAATATTTGTGGGTTCACAACCATTCATCGAGAAAAACATTGTCTAAGCTGGGAGGTGGGGGGGAAATCTGTCTCCCTATTTCAGAATCAGTGCTATTGCTTCATGCATGGGTTGCTCCTAGGAAAACAGCAGGGTAATACACTTCATTTCACATTAATATTTGAAACAACTCTGGATACTTGAAACAACTCTAAAACCTCCTATGGAAAAAAAGAAACGAGCAATGAGAATACATTTGGTTAATTCACTTAAAATTAACTAAGCTCAGCCACTTCACAGAATATCAAGACATAAAGCAAAACCTGCAGATAAAATGAGAATGTTATTTCTTCCATGTATATTTTTATCCAAATCCTGCCAGCATAAGAGAATTATCTGATTAATCAAACTGGCATGCTTCTCAGTATTCTCCCCAGATTATTCAGCACAAGAGACATATGGATGTAAAACTTTACTGATTAATTTGGCAAGTGTTCTCAGTGGATCTCAGCAACACTTCAGAATCTTCATAAATTCTGTCTGTAAAAACAAAACACATTCCACAAACACCATCTGGTGTCCTGTTATGCTCTTTGGTGATTTAAACAGTTTTCCTTAAAGAATAATCTAATTCTTTTCATATGTGCTTTTTACTGCCTTTGCAGCAAAAT